GGGGCCGCTAAGCTGCGTCGAAACATACGCATTATTGGATGAAGGGAGCACGGTCACCTTAGTCGATGCCTCAATCGCCGACGTCATCGGCGCCGACGGCCCAGCCCACACAATGTGGATACAAGGGGTCGGCTCGGAGGTGAAACACGAGAAGAGCAAGATCGTCAGCTTTAAAATAAGAGGAACGTACGCGCAAGAAGAACACAACATAGAAGCAGCGCGTACTGTAGAGCGGTTGGACTTCGCGCCAGAATCCGTGAATGAAGATCACTTGGGGAATTGCCCACATCTGTTGGATATCAAAGAGGATATCACCTACGAACGCGCCTCACCGAAAGTACTAATCGGGCAAGATAACTGGCACCTCATAGTGTCTAGAAAACTGCGCGTCGGCCGTCGAGACCAACCAGTCGCCTCATACACCAACCTGGGCTGGGTTCTGCATGGCTGTCATAGCTCATTGACGTCGACGGTCACCTTCTGCGGCAGACTACATCAGAGGGAAGATGCACCACCGATAGAAGAAGAAATAAAAAATTATTTCAAATTGGAGTCGCTGTGCATCGAGCCGAGAAGACCGAAAGAAGATCCCGAGCAGCGAGCCATGCAAATATTGGACGAAACCAGCCAGAGGTCAGCGGACGGCAGATTCGAGACAGGGTTGTTGTGGAAACAAAAGGACTTCCAAATACCAAATAATTATAAGGAAGCGGAAAGGCGCCTGCACACCTTAGAGAAGAGGCTCGACCGAGACAGCAATCTCAAGCTACAGTACGAAGAACGCATCGAGAACCTCTTCAACTCGGGTTACGCAGAGCGCGCGCCAATGCCACCGCCGCAAGGAAGGACATGGTATCTGCCACACTTCCCAGTCATCAACCCTGCGAAACCGAACAAGCCGCCGAGATTGGTACACGACGCCGCAGCGAAGACAGCCGGAATATGTCTCAACGATATGCTTCACTCGGGGCCCGACTTATTACAATCACTGCCCGGAGTGATCATGAGGTTCCGACAGTATCCGTATGTAGTGAGCGCCGATATAAAAGAAATGTTCATGCAGATTAAAGTGCGCAAAGAAGATAGAGACGTTTTACGTTTCTTGTGGAGAGGCAAGCGGCGGGAGGACCAACCGGAGGAATATAGGATGACGTCAATCATCTTTGGAGCGACATCATCACCATGCACAGCATTATACATCAAAAATAAAAATGCTGAAGAACATGCAGAAGCGTACCCAGAAGCTGCGGTCGCCATAAAAAGAAACCATTATATGGACGACTACTTGCAGAGCTTCCACTCTGTCACGGAAGCTCAGCAAACAGTAAAAGCAGTCGATCACGTCCACAAACAAGCGGGATTCGTACTCAGCGGGTGGACATCGAACGAAGAAAAAACATTAGAAGAAATAACGACAGAGCATAGACAACACGACGCGACCGTGTGCCTGGGCGGAAAAGAAACTGAGAAGACGCTAGGGCTGCTCTGGCATGTACAAAACGATCATATTGGATTCAATACTAACAATATGAAGATGCCTGCCGACGTAAAAGAAAAACAACGCTTGCCAACTAAACGAGAAGCGTTGAGCGTCATAATGGCATTATTTGATCCGCTGGGGTTAATATCACCGGTGACCACCCCAGCGAAGAGAATATTTCAAGACACATGGCGTTACAAGGCGGACTGGGACGACCCTCTGCCAACAGAATTAAAAGAAAAATGGGAAGGCTGGATTACTTCACTTAACGCCATAGAACAACTAAGAATACCGCGATGCTACGATTACAACCCGGTGTCGACGCGCCAACTACACACATTCGTCGACGCAAGCGAGGAGGCCTACGCAGCAGCAGTGTATTGGAGAACGGAGCGAGCAGACGGCAGCGTTAACATATCATTGGCCGCCGCCAAGAGCCGCGTAACACCACTGAAACCAGTTTCCATACCACGGCTCGAGTTACAAGCGGCACTGCTGGGAGCTCGTCTTGCGCAGACCGTGATCGATGAACACGATGGCGACATAGCAGGCAAGACATACTGGTGCGACTCCCGTACTGCACTGGTGTGGATAAGATCGGAGCCTCGCGCGTACAAAGCTTTCGTCGCTCATCGCCTGGCGGAGATAGAAGATACGACCAAAAAGAACGAATGGCGTTGGCTACCGTCTAAAGAAAACGTGGCAGACGACGCAACCCGAGCCACACCAGAAGGGTTCGACGAGTCGCACCGATGGTTCCGAGGGCCCCCGTTTCTGCAGCGTCCACCGGCAGAATGGCCGCAGGAAGAGAAAACGACACAATATGACACCGGGGAAGAGCGAGAAATATGTAACATCGCTGTTAAAAGTGAAGACTCGACAACAACACATCTTCCACAGATAGGAAGATTTTCTAAATGGATTCGCCTCATAAGGGCGACAGCGAGAGTTCTCCTATTCATCGACATGTGCAGACCAAACAAGCACGTAGTGAAGGCTGGGCGTAAACGCAACAAAGCAAGACAAGGTAGCGACCCTGGCTGGCAGAGAACAAACAAACGCAACACCCCCGCCAAGGAGAAAAAGGCGACTCCTACTGCCTCATCGCTTGTAGGAATACCGGCCGCTTATCATATGAGAGCCGAACAACTGTGGGTGCAAGCCAGTCAGCGGGAAAGCTTCACGAAGGAGCTCAAGAGAATCACCAGCGGAAGTGTTCCGGGAGGCGACGACAAACTAGGCCACCTGAGCACATACATTGATGAAGAGGGGACCCTACGCCTCAGAGGTCGAATAAAAGCGGCATCAGAAGTGGAGGACGACATGTACGACCCTCCCATATTAGACGGGAAGCACGCATACACTCGCCTGTACATAGCACACGTACACGAGAGGCTGCATCACGGAGGCGTAGAAACAGTTGTGAATGAATTAAGACAGAGATTGTACGTAAGAAAAATACGTCCAGTAGTGAAAACTGTCGTCAAAGGATGCCTGCCGTGCCGTCTAAGAAAAGCCAAGCCTGCATCACCGTCTACAGGAAACCTGCCGTCCGCACGCCTCGCTCATCACGCACGTCCGTTCACATACACCGGACTAGACTACTTCGGGCCAATAGAAGTCACAGTGGGACGACATCGCGAAAAGCGCTATGGCGCGTTATTTACCTGCATGACGTCGCGAGCAATACACATAGAAGTAGCCCACTCGTTGAGCGCAGACTCAGCCGTGTCGGCACTTAGGCGTTTTATGAGCAGAAGAGGATGCCCAAAAGAAATATGGAGTGACAACGCTACGTGCTTCAAGGCAGCAGACAAGGAGATGGCCGAAGCAGCACTCGCAGCCCTCGAGCACGAAACCACGTGTCAACAGATTGTGTGGAAGTACATACCGCCATCAGCACCGTTCATGGGCGGCGTATGGGAGCGAATGGTTCGCTCCGTAAAAGAAGCCCTACGCGTCACCCTCAACGAGCGCTATCCCAGCGACGAAACATTGGGGACCCTGCTCGCCGAGGTCGAAAATACTGTAAACTCCAGACCTCTCACACACGTCTCAGTCGACCCAGGAGACCCTGAAGCCATCACGCCGAATCACATCCTCATCGGTCCCAACTCGCACGTACCTGCGCCGGGACACTTCAGCAAGAATGACGTGACGGCCCGCCAGCAATGGAAACGAGCTCAAGCCCTAGCCGACGTGTTTTGGAGAAGATGGGTTAAAGAATACCTGCCCCTACTCCAACACCGGCGGGAGCCCAGCAGCATAGGAGTATCGCCGAAGATTGGAGACCTAGTCATCATTTGTGACTCCAATCTACCACGCAACACCTGGCCCAGAGGGAAAATAAGTAAGGTATATCCTGGCGTCGACGGAGAGGTACGAGTAGTGGACGTAACCACCGGCAGTGGGCACATACTAAGAAGACCAACGAAGAAGATCGTCGTGCTACCAGAGGGATCGCAGCGTGGCGACGGCGGGAGAATGTGCACGACGCAACAATATTAAACAAACGAAAGAAAATGCTTATTGTAACCGGCGCTAGTTGAACAACCTAGGAGCGGTGGGCGGAGCCATGACGACGGTGTAATTATCAGGCCACGCCTCTGGTTCGACAACTAGCAAGGGTTATACGGCGGAACTAGCGCAACCTTATGTTGAATTTAAATTATAATTTGTGTAAATAATTGTATTACTTGTATCGAACGATAAAAAATAATGATTGTATTATAACTAAGTTTAAGGTTGAGTTGTAACTGTGCAATAACTCTCCCAAATAAAGGCACCGTATGAACAGGGAGAGTTAGCATAGTCTTCTAATGAAAACTGTAATTGTTAAATATAATAAATGTTTACTTTATTATATAATAAATATATTAGGCCGTTAGGCACATAAAATAATAGTAGTAGTGTAACCAAAGAGCATGTTATCGTGACGCGGCCGCGGAGCAAATGAAGCCACGCGCACCGCGCCACGACGTTTTATATTTATAGTGCTGAGGCGGGGGGAAGGATTCTCCGCCTAAAGCAGCTGAAAATTATAATGTAAACCTGTAAATAAGTAAAAATATTGATATGTACACCCTAGTCTAACAAGTAGTTATAAGAATATTATATAGTGAATTATGTTTATTAGTTTGTAAGGTTATTAAATAAATAAAGATAGGCGCGGGGGTGAGGCAAGGGTCCGCTGGCCAGCATCGGCCAAATCATATAAAAGACGGGCCGGCCGCTAGGGTCAGCAGTCGCTCTCCAGCCACCGAAAAGGCACCAGCAAGAAAAGAAAAAGTACAAGTTCCTCCTCACCGCCGCTTGCCTCCAGTTAAAAGCAAGACCAGCGCGTTTTATTCCATTTTTCGCACGGCATTACGGCGATCCGTAATACATATATTTAATAAACATATAAATTATTAATTATAATTCATTAAAACTTAGTCAACAACAAAATAAATTTAGCATGTATTGACGAAATTCAGCATATATTATAAAACATAATTTAGTCCAGCGGAAAACTTTACAGGTGTGTCCTTTACTACAGTGATAACGGCGTGGCCAGAGCTCAATAATACCAGCATGGCGGCAAACATAGTCAGAGCCCTCAGCTTTGTCATCTGGTTGGTCTTAGTTTGTCGAACCTGTGCTGCCTTTGTGATCGCTATTTCCACAACAATCTGTCTCAGTCACCAATATAAGCAACTGCAGAGCTACTTTTATTCTATTGAAGAAAATTTCTCCACTGAACATCTGGATCAAGTTGAAAAAGAACGTAAATACGAGGAATCTCTAAAACATGGAATCAAAATGCATTCTGAAACGTTGTTGTAAGTTTTTGTATGTTATACTTAACCAGATATTTACATTTTTCAAAATTGAATGCTACGTGTTGGAATTAAAGTTGACAACCGCCTACTTATTAACTCCGGACTGCTACTGAGGATTTTTTAACAGAATAATCTAACTTATATAGACCCAACCCGAATTCCGAAACCGGGACATTATGAACAGCGGTCACGCTCACTATACGATCACTAGAAACTGATGAGGCAGTAAGTTGTAACTACTGAAATAAACATAATTAAACTTTAAAAAAACGTTGCTTGTATTTACATACTTGATTAGTGATTATTATTTAAACATCGAAAAAAAGGCAATGCATAAATTTAATTTAACAACTGCACTTTATCTATACATATAAATAAAATTGAAGGGTCTGTCCGTGATACTGTAATGACTGGCTTTTATTAATTTCAGGGGATTATTTGCATGGTAATGGGACATAAATAACCATTTTCAATTTTTTTTTATATAGGAGAGGCGGCAAACGAGCATGCGGCTCACCTGATGGTAAGTGACTACCGCCGCCCATGAACAACGGCAACACCAGGGGAATGGCAGATGCGTTGCCGGCCTTTTAAAAAGGAGTAGGCTCTTCGGGTCTTGGTCCGAAAAAATCGCTGATGGTAATCGATTCCACAAGGAAGTCGTGCGAGAAAGAAAACATCTTCTAAATCGCACAGTGGTGGACCGCCAGTCATCCAGATGGACTGGATGGTATCGGGAGTTCTGCCGCAATGTGCGTTCGTGAAATTTGGCGGCTGGGATTAATCCGAACAATTCTAACTGTCTGTCTGTTGTAGGTTAGTCTTTAAAATGGCTAAACAAATTGTGATTAAGCTTTATTCATAGATTAAATAAAATTGCTCTGTTCACAGAGCAATTTCATAGATATTACCTTAATTTCTATTTTCTAGTGACTATTGGATATTGTATGTGTCCAGTATATATTATATTAATTATTCAATATACCCATTGTTTATTTTAGATGCACACAGGTTGTTCAAGAAATATTCGGTCCAGTGTATAGTGGTCAAATAACGTTAAATATTATAGCGCTTATCATACTCATGATGCAGATGATGGTAAGTTATTTAAACAAAGTATTAGTTAAATATAAAAATAATTTAATATATTTATAATAATTAATACATTGGCCATACAACCCATATATAGGAGCGGCGTTAGAAAATTCACATACACACACTACAGCAGGCGGTCGGCGGGTCTTCCCCCCTTTGTTGTCGATATTCCTCGCATTAGATCCAAAATGTTTGCTTCTTCGTACGAATGAATACAATCTGGGCGTCTTCAAGGCAAGAGTGAATAGGCTTTTTTACGCTAAGACAGTGCGATTTACCATATAGGGCTGAATCACCACTTAACCACCATGTGCGATGTGGTCAAGCACTAGCTTATAATAAATAAATAAAAATTTAAATTAAAAATTTTGTACAGCCGACTTCAATATAAGTTATTAAGAATAACTCAAAAACTATTGATCTGACCTTGATCAAATTCATATGAGACCACACGAGATACGAGTATCAGCTTTCATATAAAAAAAGAATCGTCGAAATGGGCTCACCCAGTAAAAAGTTATGAGGTAACACACTAAAAAGAACATCCAGCGAATTGAGTACCCCTTTTTGGAAGTCGGCAGAAAAATCATCGATTATCTTATTAACACGAGGGTTGCGTAGCCAACAAAGGAACAAACAGGAGATGGACAGCAGAATCTCCCTGATAACAACTCTAAATAATTAAACTGCGGTTGCAGTGGTTGCAGGGGTTGCAGTTACCCGCCTGCTGAACATAACACCTATGAGGCAATCTATGGGAGAGGCAGTAGACTTTGATATGCTGTAATGAATGAAAAAATAAAGTGTTTTGTTTTAATTTTCTAAAATACTTTTCTTACCCCGTATTTGGATATTGCAAATAATAAAATTATAGCTATAAAAACCAGCTATTCAAAGCTTATCTTAATTTTGATAACTAAAAAAATAATAATTTCAGTGTACTGTTTCCCATAATATACTGGATAAAATGGAAGCCATGTACATGCTTTGAACCTATTATGCTACTTATATTGAGGAAGTTATTACAGTAAATCAAATGTGACGTCGCGATATCTCGTACGAGTTCACATTATTATTATTATTTTTTTAATTACTTTAGATTTTGAACCATTAATATTCATAATAATAATTTGGTTCAGACCATAACCTAAAACATGTGTTAGAGAAAAACTTATATACTACGTTGGTAGCTATGGTAGTAGTAATGATCACTTGAAAAATGTTTAATATACTAATATTTTTTTAAGTTTCCCTTACGTCACTTACGTGCATTTAAACGCAGTGATTATATACTCTTTGTTTGCAGTATTAAAACTTTAGAGTTGTGTTATTTTAGTCCCAAGTAGTTTGCACCTTAAGTAAAATAAATAATAATCAACAGAACTAATTTTAGTAAAATCTAATAAGATTTACGTAAATCTGGTTTCTACATCTTCACCTTCATCTTAACGTAACAGCCCACTGATGAACATGGGCCTCTCCCATTGTAGGGAGAATTTGCTTCCATCAAGCTTCGTAGGCGGCTTGAAGAGCACAGTATCAGACTTTTCGCACATTTGTCGCTTTTTCAACTCTCTCGGGGCGAAATGCGTGCTAACGCACACAGCCTCCTCAAAATTTCTAATATAATATACAAAAGACCATTTTTACTGGAATAAAAGATATTTTTATAACGTTTACAGGACAGTGAGCAGACTTTATTCAATGCCTTAGGAATGGTGAGCATGGCCTCTGCAGTACTGAGCACAACCGGTATACTAATGTGTAGCGCTGGCGACATAACTATTGAAGTTAGTTTTACACATATTCCATAAATACTTTTATTATTTCAAAGACAATGTACTGACGTTTAATTGAGAGAGAGAAAGAACTGCTTAATTTCAAAATATCAATATTTATGGTTTGAGTACTTGCCACCCTGAATCGCAGTGCTTGCACTTGACGGCGTATATACTACAACTAAAGGGTATAGATAGTCAGTATAAGATTTTTCTTTTTTTTAAGAAAGGGGTGACAAACGTTCACAGTCCACCTGATGGTAAGCGGATGCTGTGGCCTATAGACTCGGCTAACAATTAAAGTGCAGAAGCGCTGAAGTGTCTCGTTTAAAGTAAAAATGGTCTCAGGTTCTCTAAGCTAACTTACTATTAATTAACTATTTAGACCATAACATTTTCTAAAGTTATTAATAATTAACATTAATTTGTGTGAGTTAAGCGGTTGATGGATATTAACAGGTTTGAAAAGTACTGTTTTGAGCTAATCAGCGCTTGGAAAGTGAATACGTCATTAAGCTACAGAAATTCTAATTATATTGAATTCATCTCACAGAAACACAGTGTCAGTCCCATTACCCTCAGTAACAACTTGTCACAACCTTCATTCAGAGTCAAGTATTTGTATTAATAAATTTTCTTTTTTTTAATTAGTTTCCATTGCATTATTTTTCAGGAGCATTTAACGAAAATATAAATTTCATAAACTGAACAAAGTACTGTGACACGACTGAGGACACGACAACATTAAGCTGTTATTTTACGCTGGTATTCGGCGAGAGCGTGGTCCTTCCTTGGTCGAGTTAACACATTCGTGCTACAACATTAATATAGCGGCAGCACGGTTCTACCACGTACAGGTTGTGAGGCATTCCATCTTAGTCCTTAGAGGTGACAACGCATAAGTTGGCGACATATATCCATGAACTGTAGGAGTCACATACCATCAGGCGGACTTTAAATTAGTTTGGCACTTATTTTTTTTTAAAAAAATGTACAAAAAACTAAAACAAAACAATAATTCATATAATTCTTTCACACCTTATTTAAAAACTTTCAACTGGTCATCATCAAAATCATGGCGATTTGGCGATTACTTTCAAATTCTTTATATATTAACTTTCGAATTCCGTCGGAAGCTATGAACTGCGTAAGAAACAACCCTAGCAGAACACAAGCGTTATACACATCAATATAGAACTTAGAGTTCTTTTAGAAGCGTATAAGAGTGTTGATAAGAGGTTGTATCCATATAAGAGTAACTTATGAGTTATTATACAGCTCAAGTTATATAAGGTCTGTATTATGGGATCTAAATAAGCTTACGGTACATAATCAGAATATGAAAACTGTATACGACTTTAAGTATTTTGTAACACTTGAATCTGATTTTATCATTAAAGCTGTATAGAAGCTGCTTTTTGCATGCTGTCACTTGCTTATACAGCTCTAAGTGTTATTATAGTACGTAGGTCACTCAATAAGTTTTGAGATATACAAAAAGTATCCTAGATACAATTAATATTTATTTTACATCTTTTAAAATTATTCTCCATCATGCTCTATACAAAGTTTCATTTGCCTAAAAAGACTCTGAAAACACTTTTGGCAGTCTTGATCTGACAGGTCGAAAATCGCTTCTTCGTAGGCAGTCACGGCTTCTTCGGCGCTTGAAAAAAAACTTGCCTTTTATTTTTTCTTTGACTCTTGGTAACAAAAATAAATCACAAGGAGCTAAGTCACGGCTATAGGGTGGGTGACTTAGAGTTTCAACACCAGATTACTCAATAAATGCTTTTGTTCTAAGGGAGGTATTTGAAGAGGCGTTATCGTGATGCAGCACGATTCCCCGAAGCCTAGTCTTTGGTCTTCTCTCCCGCACAGCTTAAAAAGCTTTGGGTAATGCAACTGTAGTATACTTACCATTCAGAGTTGACTGACCTACAATTTGTCAGCTTTGACGTCGACAAACGTCCGCTTCGCGAAAAATAACTAGCCACTATGTTTTTGCTGACGTTACGAGGTCTTTTCAGTTTTGTCGGTAAATGTCCTTCTGAGTAGACCCATACCGATGATTGCCTTTTATTTTCCGGATTATATTGATAGATCCATGTTCTCGTTTTTAAAACGTAGACGCATTTCATGACTCCAATTCACACGAGTCTGTTTTCGCTTTCGGAGAGCAAACGAGAGATCCATCGACAACAAAGCTTCCTCATTCCAAGATGTTGATGTAGGATGGTATGAGTGCTCCCCAAAATAATGCCTTCAATCTTTTCGATGTCCATATATGTGATTCGTGCGTCTTCTCGCACCAACATTTCAGTAGTCCATACATTTTCTGCCGTTACTGCTGTTTGCGGGCCCCTGGTTCTTTGGTCACCTTTAAGATTAATTTTACCCCTTTTGAATTCAGCAAACCACCTAAAAATTGTTACGCGTGATAGAGCTAGACCCCTAATGTTGATTGTGGCCGTTGTAAACTTAATTGTTTGGTTAAACCTAATTTAATAAATCATAATATATCATAGCGTGCAAATGTTCACGGTTAAAATCCATCGTTTTAAATGAAATGCACGGGAAGCGTTGCAGGAAAATTAATAGACCTTTGTTTTTTTAAATATTGAGCAAATTTTCTTTTCAGAAACATATAACACGGGTGCGTTCCATTTTTAAATTTCGAGCATCTCAAAACTTATTTAGTGACCTACTTATTACTCTAATCTTATTTCAGAAAAATGGTATATGCGATAGATATAGATGCGATAGCCATAAAGATTCATGGCGTAGTTGTACACTCTTGTAAATACAGTAGTTTTGTGAGTTCTCTCTATGAGGGTTATATACATACATACATATAATCACGCCTCGTGTCCCGGTGCCGGTAGGCAGAGACCACTTCTTTCCACTTGCTAAGATCCTTACATACTTGTTTCGCTTCGTCCACTTTCATTTTTCTCTTCATACATGCTCTTCGGTTTAGGGTACTCTTGACCTCGCCTTTTTTCAAGATGTCTCTGATTTGGTCTAGAAACGTCCGCCTAGGTCTACCCCTTCCAACACTTTTATTCACACTCGCCTTATACACTTTTTTCGTCAATCGTTCTTCATTCATTCTCTCGACATGGCCAAACGATCTCAGTATACCTTTCTCAATTTTTGTCACTACATCTTCTTTCAGACCACAACGTTACCGTATCTCACTATTTCTTATCCTGTCACTCAGTTTAAGAGGGTGATATAAAACTAAAAAAATTAATAACAGCCATCGTACAATTTAAATAAGAATAAATAGTAGCATATCGCCATTTTGCATGCGTTGCGTGTTTATATTTTGCTAGTGAAAAAAATTTATTTGTTATCAATATGTGGAAAGAAAGAAAAAGATTTGTTGCAGTTAGAAAATCATGTTAAGTCTAAATAAAAGTTATACAACATATTTCCAAATCAAGATTTTGCCTCTTTCATACGTATCTCTAAAGAGAATCATATGTTATGTTGAAAAAACTGCTATAAAGCGTAAGTAATAAAAATATTCTCTTATATAACGGATTAAAAACCAAAAGTTGCATGACGAAGCAAAGAGAATCCATACAGAAACAGAAACAGAAACTTTTTTATTCAATATAGATTATATTGAATTTTAATGAGATATATAAATAAAAAAAATATAAATTTTATGGAGAAAGAGGGACTCTTTATGATGAACTCTTTCTTCCAGAAGCGGCCCCACAGAAAGTGGACCTGGTCGAGCCCCGACGGTTCGACAAAAAATGAGATTGACTTCATTATGACGACCAGACGACAACTGTTCAGTGATGTCTCAGTGATCGCGAGGGTGAAAACCGGCAGCGATCACCGAATGGTTAGAGGCACACTGAACCTAAACGTTAAGTTGGAGAGGTCTCGTCTAATGAAGTCAACGCTCCGTCCCCCTCGTGCTCTAATCCAAAGTCCCGAAACCTTTCAGCTCGAGTTACAAAACCGTTTTCAGTGCCTAGAAGACTGCAATGAAGTGGACGATTTGAATGACAAGCTCGTGGAAACTGTCCATGCGGTCGGAGCTAAGTTCTGCAAGACCCGCCGCAGAAGAACACAAAAACTCTCCGATCACACTCTTAATCTCATGGCTGCTAGACGGAAGATGAAGCTACATTCTTCAACAGATTTAACAGCATACAGGCAACTGAACAGACAGATCTCCAAATGCATGCGGCGGGACTTACGCAACTTCAATACAGCTCGTATTGAAGAAGCGATCGAGCGGAACCAAGGCTCCAAAGTATTTGCCAGAGATCTGTCTGCCAGAAAGCACCAACTGTCAAAGCTGAAGACAGAATGTGGCAGCATCGTTTCCGGGGCACCTGAGATTTTGAGTGAGATTGAGAGGTTCTATGGGCAGCTGTACACGTCATCGTTGGAGCCGCACGCAAGTGTGAGTAACGATCCAAGAGCGAGTCTTATCCGACATTATTCCGTTGATATCCCGGACGTCAGTCTGAGCGAGATTAGAATGGCTCTCCAGCACCTTAAAAACGGCAAGGCCCCAGGCGAGGATGGAATTACAGCGGATTTCTGAAAGCGGGTGGAAAACCGGTACTTGAAGTCCTTCAGAAGCTCTTTAATTCCGTCCTCCATGGTGGCATTACACCGGAGGCGTGGAGCAGAAGTGCGGTGGTCTTGTTCTTCAAGAAAGGCGACAACGCTCTCTTGAAGAACTACAGACCGATATCCCTTCTGAGCCGCGTCTACGTGCTGTTTTCGAGAGTCATTACGAATCGTCTCGCGCGCAGACTTGACGACTTCCAGCCTCCCGAACAAGCCGGTTTCCGAAAAGGCTTTAGCACCATAGACCACATACATACCCTTCGGCAAATTGTACAGAAGTCCGAGGAGTACAATTTGCCACTATGTCTGGCGTATGTGGACTATGAGAAAGCCTTTGATTCCGTCGAAATTTGGGCGGTGCTGCAGTCCCTTCAGCGATGCCAAGTTGACTGTCGGTATATCGAAGT